CCCCCCCGCCTTATGTTGAGGATTGAACCCAGAGCCTTTGCACTGAATTATATATCTCCAGCCCTTTCTTTATTTTGAGACAGTGTTACTAAGTTGCTAAATTGCTCAGGCTGGACTTGAATTTGTAGCCTTCTGCCTCAGCCTCCCAGAATGCTGGGATTGCAGGCATTCCACACCAGGTCTGGCTTTGAGCTGGCCTTTAAATCCAGCTGTCATACAATCTTTTTCCATCTCCCAAGAAGACTTGCGATTATTATCCAAGAAATACTTAGAGCTCCTCATATGAAGGAAGGGGCAACTAAAACAGTGTTGTCTTATTATTATTTTAGTTTTGGGTTTGTATGCTAAGCTAAGTGCTTTACCACTAAGCTGTACACTCAGCTCTTGTTTTGTTGTAAATAATAATAGTATATGGGGAATTAAGCAGGTTGTCGTGTGTGATGTAGATACTATCCTGCAATTGCAAGAACTCTGGGGACAAAATATGACAACCTAGAGCCAAGTGTGGTGGTGCACACGTGTAATCCCAAAACCCTAGTAGACTGAGGCAGAAGGATCACAAGTTGGAGCCCAGCCTGGGTAACTTAGGTGAGACCTTGTCTCAAACAAAACGGAGGGGAGCGATCTGGGGATGTAGCTCAGTGAGAAGGCCTTTGGTTCAGTCCCCAGGACCCCAAAATAAAAACAATGTAGGTAGTAGCCTTCTTTGACCACCCTTTTTGATGTGGGGATGAAATCCAGGGCTTGCCGGTGTTAAGCAGGCTGCTCTACCACTGAGCTATACCCCAGCCGTTTTTCTTGAATGTGGTATTCCATTGCTACATCTAACAAAGTATACTACAATCTTTATTATATTCCATCCTGAAGCATTTCCCCTAACACTGACATTAGTAATTAAAGTTTTGATACGAACTACCAGTTATGTGGTGGCCTGTCAGTTGCTGGAGTATATACTGATGTTAGGTATGTAGTTTGAAAGAAATGTAGTGTTTGCATCCTAATTTTGCTGAAGCCTGTTATGGGAGAGATTTCCTAGATTGAATTGGATATAGATGTCTCGTATCTGACACAAATTGGAACCCACTGTGTGTGTGTGTGTGTGTGTGTGTGTGCGCGCGCGCGTTTGTGTTTTGCAGTTTGATGTGTTCCCTCTTCCCCCACCCTATCAACTTCCAGATACATACTTTCTAAATTAACACCCCCCCCATGTCCTTAATTTCTGTGTCTGACAGGGAGAATCGATGTGTGCAGTGATTTAATATGCAAACCTAAATCCATCCACCGTTTTTGAGGGAGTGCAGTTGATTAGTCCGAGAAAAGATCTAGGTCGAACAACCTGGAGACAAATCTTTTTTTTTTTTTTTTTTTTTTTTTTTGGTACCGGGGATCGTACTCGGGTCCTTCCTCTTGCGAGGCAGGCGGTGGAACCAGAGCTAAATCCCCGGCCCGCAAGTCCTTTTACTGGAGTCTCTTGGTGGCAGTTTCTTTGGAAGTCTGAGACACTCTAGGGGGTTCCAACGGCTTGGGAGCGGGTCACTCAGTACCCAGGCAGAGAGTGGGCAGGAGAGCAAGAGATGGGGCACGATATCACCGGGCCCAGCCGCGGGATGCTTGGATCGCAGCTGGGGGGGGCGGTGCGGTGCGCAGAGACTGGCAGTGTTAACAAAGAGAAGCCGAGCCAGGGCCGAGGCCGCGGGTAGCTGGCCTATCCCCGGCGGCTGACCTCCCAGTGGGCCTCCCTCGTTGGCTGCGTGGCGAGTCGCTCTGCTGGTTCCCTGGCTCGCCATTGGCTGTACAGATGGGCGGGTGCTCGCTGGGCCGGGACGGAGCTGAGGGGGCGGGGCTGGCTTCCGGCGGCGTGGGCGAGCGAGTGGCAGCCGGCTGGGGGAGGGGGGTGTCGGCGCACCGCGGAGTGCTGTGCTCTGAGAGCCTGGCGCCGGAGTAGCCGCTTCCCCCTCCCCCTGCCAAGACCTCTCATCTATCCTCCCTGGGCCGGGCAAGCTAGGCTGAGGTATCCCAGGTGGGCGGGGCAGAGCCCAGAGCCCGGTCGAGAGCGCTGCGGAGCGAACCTCACCTCCTTTCCAGGGTGCAAGGTGTGTGTATTCGCGCTCGGGCGCGCTTGCGTGCGTGCTTTTTCTAACACGATACTGACTTCGGCCGACTTAACCTTGTGAGAAAAAGGGAAATGGAATGGGAAGTAAGATCTCCAAATCCTATCAGTTTATTTGATTTTCCAGTTATACCCTTTTCCCTCCCTTCATCTCACCTCTGCTGCTGGGTAAGGAGATTCAGGAGTCTTATCTCTTTTTACTGATTTGTCGGTCCCGTAGTTGACCGAAGAAAAGAGAAGAGAAAAGGAGCCCCCTTTTGTGTAACATCAGATGTAGTAAACCAAAAAACGAAAAAAAGCCAGGAGTGGGTTTTTCGAACTGTACAGCATGCTTATCTGTTAAGGCTGTCTTCATCATTTTCCTCCTTAGGGACTGCCTTAATCAGCACTACAATCTGAAAGGGAAGGGGGTTCTAGTGAAAAAGGGAGCACTCCCTGTCGAGGATGGTTAAAGGAAATTCTGATTGTTGTTAGAGATTAACTCTGCTGAAGTGTCTTCCCTGAGTACATTGCTACCCGATTCAGTCCCTTGGGAGAATCCTAACTAGAGTGGGCAGATTTACCTTTATGTTACTGAAACTTATAAGTTTTAATCTGTTTCTTATATTCATAGATTCTGAGAGGCAATAGCTTCTATCATAAAAAACCAAAACCGGAGGCGGGGGATTTAGCTCAGTGGTTCCGCCGCCTGCCTCGCAAGCGAAAGGTCCCGAGTTCGATCCTCTGTACCAAAAAACAAAAACAAAAACAAAAACAAAAAAACCGAAACCAAACCTAAAAAGATCCAGATGGATTTTGTTTGAGGTGTTTTGGTTTTTTTTTTTTTGGTACCAGGGATCAAACTCGGGACCTTTCTCTTGCGAGGCAGGCGGCGGAACCACTGAGCTAAATCCCCGACCCTCCAGATGGATTTTGATTTTAAAAGATTCTCCTTTCCAAACTATGAATTTGAATGGGTGTAGCATTTCAAATTAAATATTTTGTCTTTTGAGTTCCTTTGTTTCTCTTTAACTTATGTATCCCTTCTTTCTGAAGGGCATGTGCCTCATTCATTCCACATCAGGAACCTTTTTATGTTTGGGGGTTTTTTGTGTGTGTTTTGTTTTTTGAGACAGGGTCTCACTCTTTAGTTCAGGCTCACTGTGTAGCCCAGGCTGGCCTCAAACTCTCAGCGATCCTCCTGTCTCAGCCTCCTTAGTACTGGGATTACAGGTGTGGGTCACATGCCCGGCTTCTACATATGTTTTATTCTTTTTTTTTTTTTTTTTTTTTGGTACCAGGGATCGAACTTGGGTCCTTGTGCTTGCGCAGCAGGTGGCAAAACCACTGAGTTAAATCCCCGGCCCTACATGTGTTTTAAATTGAGAGGAAAGTTGTCAACTGAAAGTAGAAAGCCCAAAATGATGTTAGAAACGAAATATGTGTGTACATAAGGTGGCAGTGTTCTTGGCACTCTTGCTTTAACTAGGCATTTTCAAATAAAGATGTTTGAACCAGGTCTATCTCAGTGTTGATTATTGAAGAGCTACAATGTCAGAAGGATTAATATAAATTTTTGGCAGTACTTTCATAAATACTAATTACTCAGAGTTTATTTTTGTAATACAGGTTTAGTTTTCAAAGATTGTTCTAACTGGAGTCTAGTTTTGAAGAGAATTGTTGTGCAAGTGCTGTCTTACCATTTTAGCTGGATAAGTGTGGGGGGTTTTTTTTTGCATTTATTGGCTTTCTAATCAGGAGTAATTTGTGTGAAAACAACTCTTATAAAGAATAAAAGACAGGTGTGATAGTGCATGCCTGTAATCCCAGCTACTCAAGAAGTTGAGGGCTTAAAATCACCCAGTTATAGCCCACCCTGGGCAATTTAGGGAGACCTTGTGTCACAATTTTAAAAAGCCTGGCCAGGCCCAGTATGGTAGGGCACGTCTGTAATCCCAGCACTTAGGAGGCCAAGGCAGGAAAGATCACTCTGAGTTGAGGCCAGCCTGAACTACATCATAGCGAGACCCTGACTGAAAAAAAACAACAAAAAACTGGCCAGTGTAGCTCAGTGATAGGAGTACTTGTCTAGCATACTGGAGGGCGGTGGGTCTGAGTTCAATCCTCAGCACTGCTCCCCACCAAAGGCTGATGGGATAGGAAACCATGTCGGAAACAAGTAGGGATCAGCAATCAATCCATCTCTCTCTCCCTCTCACATGTGTGTGTGTGTGTGTGTGTGTGTATACACATAAATTTCAAGTAGCCTTAATATAGAATTGTGCAAAAAACCAGTGATCTTAAATTGGATTTTGAGTTTTTAGTTTATTACTCATTTGTCCCTAAAGTTTCTATGAATCATATTTAAATTGGGAGGGAAAGGCCAGGGATTTAGCTCAGTGGTTCCGGCACCTGCCTTGCAAGGACAAGATCAGTGTATTACTAAATAAATTGGGAGGGAAAGAAGATTCCCTAGATGTTGTCTTACCTAATTTGTTACTGAGAATGAACTGTTAAAAATCACTGAATGAAGCTTTGACAACTAGCTAGTGTATAAAACAGTGTTAATTTTTTTTTTTCCAGTACTGGTGACTGAACTGGAACCTTGCGCTTGCGAGGCAGGCACCAGGACCACTGAACTAAATCCCCGGCCCTAAAACAAAGCGTATTTTGATGTCGAAGATGTAACAAGTGACCCCCCCCAAAAAAAAAACCCTTGGAGGTTGTGACACTTCAACTTGACTTTACCAAAAAGCAAGTTGCCTCCTATATATCCTAGGTGGTTTTCTTTCTCTTCCCATGGATTAATATAGTTGATAAGCTTTGTAAACTTACATTACCTTTTTTTTTTGGTACGGTGGATCAAACTCAGGACCTTGCACTTACAAGGCAGGCACCGGAACCCCTGAGCTAAAACCCTGGCCCTATTACCTTTTACTCACTTTATTTTCTTACTTTTCACTTTTTATTTATGTAGTTAGTTACATTACCTTTTACTCACTTTATTTTCATTCATTCATTCATTCATTTATTCATTTATTTTATTTTATTTTATTTTTTTGGTACTGGGGATCGAACTCGGGTCCTTCCGCTTGCAAGGCAGGCGGCGGAACCACTGAGCTAAATCCCCGGCCCATTTATTCATTTATTTATACCGCAGATCCAACTCGGGTCCTTGTGCTTGCAAGGCAGGCAGAACCACTGAGCTAAATCCCCGGCCCAATAAATAAATTTAAAAACTAAGAAAATAGGACCTTGAAAGCACAAGGACCCGAGTTCAATCCCCAGTACCCTCCCCCAGAATATTTATTTATGAATGTGCTACATTCTCAGCACTTTTTCAAAATTTTAAATTTTGAGACAGGGTCTTGTTAATAAAGTCACTAAGTTGCCTAGACTGGGGTTGAATTTGTGATCCTTCTATCTCAGTCCCTCAAAGTGTGCGAATTACAGGTGTGCATCACCAGCTCTCAGGTTAGCTCCTGTTTTGTTGTCATTGTTGATAGGGTTTTGCTTTGTATTCAGCCTGACCTAGAACTCACTGTGTAGCCCTGCCTGGCCTGGAGTTTGAGAGATTCTCCTGCTTCAGCCTCCCGAGTGCTGGGATTACAGGCGTGTGCCATCATCCCCTGCTTGTTTTCTTTACTGATTTGTGTAATCAGTACATATTTTATGTGGTGAAATGATTGGGGTTCTCCAAATAGTTTTTCCCAAGAGACAAGAGGCTATGTATAGAACAATTCATAGATGTATCTACATTGATTCCTAGATTATAATTTAAGGGGTGTGGAACCTTTTAAGTTTGGTCCTTTTCAAGAAAATAATTAAGTGAAGCCATGACTTCTTACAGTTCTTTAGGTTGAGGGGACATAGTGCTGTTTGAAATTATAGTAACTGATTTTATTTTCTTTAGCAATCTGTTTTTATCCATCCTGTTTATTTTTGTGAGTCACACAGAAAAAGAAAAAGGGCTTTGTCTCTCTAAAGGGAGACTCTAGCCTAATCCTCTATTCCCATCAGACACAAAATGATCCCCTTGAGAAGGTGAAAGAAAATATTGGACACTTGGCATTGCTTAATTCTCATAATAATCAGCTTGAGTGTTCTCAGGCTTGGAATTGGGCAATTCTTACTCAAGGTGAAAAAATATAAGAGGCAAAAAAGACTTGGGAATGCTACTTCTAGAGTGAAAGATTTATTTAGGGATAGTGAATGCATTCATATGAATATGTGGCTGATGGTAATTTTTAACTTTTCAGGTTTGTTAGTCAGGTATCAAAGATAGTATTTTGTGTGTTTAAGCGCAAACTCCTTCCCCAGGGCTTGACTCTTAGAAGCGAAATCTTTTTTTTTTTTTGGTACCACGAATTGAACTCGGATCCTTGAGCTTGCTAGGCAGGTGGCGAAACCACTGAGCTAAATCCCGGCCCAGAAGCTAAATCTTATGAGCAAATTATGAGTTTGAATCCTGAGGGTAGAGGACTTAATAGAGTCTTTTGGTAATCTATCACTCAGGTAAGTCTTCAAATTGACTGCTAGTGAGTTATTGAAGTCTTCCTAGAAGTTTCTAGGCAAATTGCATCTCAATCAGTTTAATCCTCAATAGTTTACCAGTCTGTTCTGGTGAGGCCCAGAGCTACCGTTCTAATGTTATTGACCTTTAAGAATCCTTGGGGGCAGGACTGGGGATCTAGCTCAGTGGTTCCGCCACCGCCTGCCTTGCAAGCAGAAGGACCAAAGTTCTAACCAAAAAAAAAAAAAAAATCCTTGGGGGTTGGGGCCAGGGATTTAGCTCAGTGGTGCTGCAGTGCCTTGCAAGTGCAAGGTTCTGAGTTTGATCCCCAATACCTTAAAAAAAAAAAAGAATCGTTGGGGGCCCGGGATTTAGCTCAGTGATGCTCTGCTTGCCTCAGCTCAAGGTCCTGAGTTCCATCCCCAGTACTGGGGGGGGGGGAATCATTGTTGGATGTGCATATATGTTGCTCGGTGTCTCAAAATAAGGGGCCAGAAGGGCTGGGGATTTAGCTCAGTGGTTCCGCCACTTGCCTTGCAAGCACAAGGTCCTGAGTTCAATCCCTGGTACCAAAAACCCCCACCAAAAAAACTAAAAGTAAAGGGCCAGAGTGATGTATGGATCTCATATCAGCCAAGAGAATTTAGCCTTTGGTAACCTGAGCCAGCACTGTCATGAACTTCTCTTCTGGATCAAGTGGTTAGTGAGGTTGCTTTCCAATATTAAGGTACAACTGTGTTGGGTCGGGGATTTAGCTCAGTGGTACCACACCTGCCTTGAAAGCGCAAGGTCCTGAGTTCAATCCCTGGTACCGAAAAAAAAAGAAAGAAAGATGATACCACTGTGTTTGATTATCTTTGGTTTTATAACTAGTAGGGCAGTGAGCTAATGCATTCATTTTGGAAACAGGCCAATGATAACACTGCCTGTCGGTCTGGAAGGATGGAAAAATAGGGCAGAGTAAACAATTGAGGACATAAATAATGAATCTTCCACTGAACCCTGGGAGAGTGAGGGAGATTATCCTCAAAGCTGTTCAATCTGGCTGTGAAAGGGGAGAATCCACTTAGTTAATTACCCAGTCTGTTTGATACTGTGTGCATTATGGGATCATTAGAGCCATTGAAAGCAAAGTTACATTTCTGATATAAATGTGTGGGTGCATGTGTGTTTGTGTGTGTGTGTGTGTGTGTGTGTGTGTGTGTGTGTGTGTGGTGCTGGAGATTAAACCCAGCATCTTCACATGGAGTTACATCTCCAGCCCTTTTAGAAATTGTTTTAATTGGGCTGGGGATTTAGCTCAGTGGCACCATGCCTGCCTCGAAGGTGCAAGGTCCTGAGTTCAATCCTCAGAACCACCCCCGAAATTGTTTTAATTATGAGAGAGGGTGTAGAGAAGTTGCTGAATTGTCCAGACTGGGCTGGAATTTATTATTCTCCTGCCTCAGCCTCCCAGTTAGTGTGCTGGGATTACAGAGATATGCCACTGTGCCTAGCTCTGATAGAAACTTTTAAACTTCTCCCCTGCTTTTGTGAGGAGACACTCAAATTGTTCATTTGCTTTTCAGAATTTTTAGAATGCAGGCCTTTACTTCCTTCTCCAAACCTAATTTTATATGTTAACATTCTAAGAACACCAGGCAGTCTTTGTTTGGGCATATCTCAGAATTTTAATTATAGACTTCATTGTCTGTAAATTAATTAATTAATTAATTTATTTATTTATTTGCTTGCTTGCTTGCTTGCATGGCAGGCGCCGGAACCACTGAGCTAAATCCCCGGCCTATCTGTAAATTTAAAAGATTAAAAAGTCTAGGGCCAGGGATTTAGCTCAGTGGTTCTGTCGCCTGCCTCGAAAGCTCAAGGTCCCGAGTTCGATCCCTGGTACCAAAAAAAAGTCTAGGCCTAGTTTAAAGGAATTCTTTGATATATTGAATACATATTTTACTTTGAAATTAAATGTGGTATTATAGAGTATAATTATGTAACAACTCACAAAAGGTTAGGACAAGTTTCTTCAGCTCAAGAATCATTTCTAGCTATTACTTTTAGATTAGTTTTCATCCATTGAATTAAATAAGCATGTTCTTATTGCTCTCAGTATTTTTCTGAAGTAGGAAAAACCAATGAATGCCCTGTGAGTGCCCAACTAATGTAGTGATTTGGTAGTGAGGCCAGACTCAAAGTCAAGGTCTTGAAATTCTTTCCTTCTCTGAATATGTAATGTGTGTACTGTATTTTGTTGTTGTTGTTGTTGTTGTTTGTTTGTTTTTTGAGACAGTGTCTCACTGTGTAGCCCAGGCTGGCCTCACTCACAGCGATCCTCCTGCCTCAGCCTCCAGAGTGCTGGGATTACAGGAGTGCATCACCAAGCCCAGTCTAATGTATTTTCTTGAGTAACTTTTCAGGGCTGATTTAAAATGATTTGAAGGCTGAGCATGTAGCTCAGTGGTGGAGTACATGTTCAGCATGTGTGAGACCCTGACAGTCAATCCTCAGGACTGTTAACATTTTTGTTGTTGTTTTGAAATGTTCTACCTTGAAAGGCTTTTTTTTTTTTTTGGTACTGGGTATCGAACTCGGGACCTTGTGTTTGGGAAACGGGCAGCAGAACCACTGAGCTAAATCCCTGGCCCGAGAGGTTGTTTTTAACTTCTCTGATTGTCAGAGGAATTTGAAGACTAAGATGCTACTGCCAATCCAGAGAAGAACGAGGAAGGTTCAGGGTAAGGTGTTGGAGAAATAGAACAGATATAAACCAAATTGAAGTTTTATTATATTTTGTTATTGATGGAGCCCTGGAAGAGAGCATAGGCTGATTAGATGAAATCCATTAATAGACTGAATTTGTAACATTTCAGCCTAGCTGAAAAGGATGAAGGTATCTTTATCAAAATACAGTAAGAACTCTAGTTAAGAGTTCTTTGCTGATTAACCAATATAGTCTAGCTCTTGATTTTTTTTTTTTTTTTGGTTGTACTGATGTACTAGTGATTGAACCTAGGTTCTTTGCACAGAGTGACATTCCTAGACTTTTAAAAAAAATTTTGTTTTGAGATAGTGTCTCACTCAATTGTTAAATTACCTAGGTGGGGCTTGGATTTTCCATCCTCTTACCTTAGCCTCCCAGAGTGGTAGGATTACAGGTGTGAGTGTGCCCAGAAGATATGAGCAGAAAGGGACCACTGTTAAGTCTCAAGAGTCTGAATGCCTGAAAACCTGGTGCTGTGATGTCTGATCATAGAAGATGGACATCCTGGTTGCAGAAGAGACTTGTCACTTTCACCTTATTGTAGTGAAGTGCTTTAGAGAATTAAGATTTCAAGTAAATCATAAACTAGCTCTTTTCTCTCCCCTTCTCTCACCTCCCCTTTTCTTTTCTTTTGCAGTGCAGGAGATTGAAACCTGGGATGACAAATACTAAGCAAGTGTTCTGCCACTGAGCTACAACCCCACCCCTGGAGCATAACTTCTTTATATACATCGTCTATATATGCAAATCAGTCATTGTATGTGGATGAGCTGTAGGAGCAAAGCCAAAGAAGGAAAACCTTCTTATGGTATTTGGCTTACCAAAATAAAATCTTATAACATGTGGTAATAATTAAAGCCTTTCACCAAAATGAAATCCATTTTGAATAATCAGGTTGTGATTAAAATAGTACTGTAAGTTATCACTTTAAAACTGGGGACTTAGGTTTAGGGTTAGAGACTGAGGATTTCTTTAAATGCTAGTTGGTAAGGCAGTGTTACCTGCTTCTTGTTTTATTTATTGATATATTTATGTGTGTATGTTTGTTTTTGTGGTACCAGGGATTAAACCCAGGGCCTTCACACTCAATTAGATCCCTAGGACTTTTTGATTTTGATTAAAAAAAATTTTTTTTTGAGATAGGGTCTTGCTCTGTATTACAGGCTGGCCTTGAACTCGATATGTAGCCCAGGCTGGCCTTAAACTGGTAGTGATACTTCTGCCTCAGTCTCCTGAGTGCTGGAATTATAGGTGTGTGCCACCATACCTAGCTCCAATTTTTAACATTTTGAGACATGGTCTCACTAAATTGCTAAATTGTTCCAAGCTGGGCTTGAGTTTGTGATCATCTTATCTCAGCCTCCCAGAGTGGTGGGATTACAAGCATATGCCTTGACGCCTGGCTATCACTCTTCTTTTTTTTTTTTTGGTACGAGGAAACGGAACTCGGGACCTTGCGCTTGTGAGGCAGGCGGGGGAACCACTGAGCTAAATCCTGGCCCTATCACTTCTTTTGAAGCGCTTCTGTGGTTTCCTATCTCAACAAAAGTCAAAGTACTCCTTTTTAAGGTTCTACGTGAAGCTAGGTATGGTGGGACACAACCTGTAAACCCAGCACTCTTGAGAGGCTGAGGCAGGATGATCACAAGTTCCAACCCACACTAGGCAGGCAACACAGGAATTTAATGAGACCCTGTCTCAAAATAAAAGATATAAAAAGAGTTGGGGATGTCGTTCTATGTGAAAGCCCCAGGTTTAGTTCCCAGTGTCCCCCACCCCACCCTGCACAAGAAGGCAGTGTCCATGACTGATCACTAATTCTTTGCATGTAGCAGAGTGCTTTTAAAGATCAATATTGAGTTGAGTGAAAGTCAGATTTTATTTTACTTGCAGAATTGAGATGATTTAAACAATATCCCCGTTGCTTCAGAGAAACATGAGGATTATTAGTCATAACTTAGATTTTGTGTTCTATTTCTTCTAAAAGCTAAAGCACTTTTACCATTAGCATTTTATTTTGTCTTCACACTTGCTGTATAAAGGATGGGCTTAATCTGCCTCAAAAGCAAGGAGGTGTCAGGACAATAAAATGTTAAACATCCCAGGTCACTGTGTACCAGTGGAAAACTCACATTTCCTGAGTTCCTGAATGGACCCTCTGTACTACCAAGCTATTCAGCTGGAATTCTTTTCACTATTGTGAAGACATTTTGTAGCTGTTAAGGTACTCTTTGCTTTTGCTTCTCATTCTCCCAGAACAGTTTTCATTCAATTGAAAGTAGAACCAGTGGATTAATGAACAGTCTACATCTAGTTTTAACCTGTCTTGCCAGGTGTTACTGTGCATTCACCAAAGTGCTTTTTAAAGGATTTTAGTGCTTGGGCTTCATTCAGTTCCTGTGAGGTATGGTGCAAATGGAGTGTGATACTGTCTTAGAATATTTCCCCAGAGAAAAAAGGAACATTTCCTTTGAAGATAGGTCCTTTGCCTGTTTCCATAGTTCTTGGGAAAACTAACATGGATTAAGGAGCTTTCCCACCAAGCTATATTTTGATTTTTACCTCATCTCTGAGCTGAATAACTGTATCAGTCTTCTCATTCACAGTATGGTTTGAGAGAGAGTGTAATGAGAAACTAGTACCCCTTCAGCCTGCACACTAATTTTGTAGCTCTCTAAAAACCTTTTTGTCAACTCTCTCCACTCCCTAGTAGTCCACATTTGCTCATCTTTTTTTGTGGTACAGGGATTGAACTCAGGACCTTGTGGTTGCCGAGGCAGGCACGGCACCACTGAGCTGCATCCCCAGCCCCACATCTGCTCATCTTTCAGTTTCTCACAACGAGTTAAGAAAATACTGCTGCTCAGTTGGAATTGCTAGTCTTCATCAAAGTCAAGAGTTATATCAAACAGTAGTCTTTCTGTATGTGGAGACTTGTATGACTTTGTTGTATTGCTACTTAGAAGGCTTTCTTACATTACAGAAACTATTCTATTGTTTGTTTGTTTTGAGACAGGATTCACTATATATAGTTAAGACTGGCCTTGAATTTGCAGCAGTCTTCCTGCCTCTGCCTCCCAGAGTGCAGGAATATAGATGTGTGCCACCCCCACACCCAGTGCCGCCCTGCCCCCCCCCCCTTTTTAGATAAGGTCTCATTATGTATTTCAGGCTGGCTTTAAACTTGGGGCAGTCCTCCTTACCTCAGCCTCCTGAGGGCTGGGATTACAAGGGTGTGAAGAACTCTAGCATTTGGGGGGGGGGGGCAGGTACCAGGAATTGAACTCTGCGTCCTTGTGGTTTCGAGGAATGCGGTGGAACTACTGAGCTAAATTCCCGGCCCTTCTTTAGCATTTTTTTTGTGGACTGGTCTAGTTGAAATAAATTCTTTCAGTTTTTGTTTGGAAGGATTGGATTTACTAAGTAGTTTAAAGGAAAGAATATGTGAAGAAATTTCAAGGAATTGAGATTAATTTGGCCTAGGTGAGAGAAATGATAAGCATAGGATATAAATATGAAAGACCATTATATAAAGATATCAACTAGCCCTTATTCACCTTAAAGAGAACAAAGGAATAGGCTGGAGCTCCTAGGCCAGGCATATAAGACATGAAGAAAAATTTCCTGATTTTAAGCGTAAACACTGGAACAGCTGGCCAAAGAGAGATGGATTGTCAGGGTGGATTTTCAGCAATGGGACTATATGGGAGGTAGTGGTGAGCGTGGAATAGCACAGATCTAAGTGTTAGAAAACCTAGTGTAGTCTAGGTACTTCTAGCTTTGTGTCTCTGGACTAGTTTCTTACATCGTGTAGTTTCTAGTTTCTCTGTCTGTGAAAATGGAACTAGTGGTACATGTCCAGGCTAGCTCATAGGGAATTTGAAAATATTAAGTGAGAGAGTCAATGTGAAAGCATTCTAGCAATCATAAAGCTCTCTGCAAATGTAAGGCATTGTTAATAACTTTACAAAAATCCTTTTGTGATTTAGAATCATAGAATCTAGAAGTTGGATTTAATGGTGATCTAGTTTGAATGCTTTTTGGCTTTTTGAGACAAGGTCTCGCTATGTAGCCCAGGCTGGCCGTGAACCACATGTCCGGCTTGAGTTATTTTTTATTTTTGAGTTCTTAAATATTGAAAATAAATCCTTCTCCATCATTCCTGATGAATGGTCATTGCTTTTGTTTCAGTGTTTCTACTGTTAGGCTGCCGTTAAATAAACTCAAATTGTTCTGTATGTTCCCTTAAAATTGCCTTTCTTCAGACTAATTTTATTAATCTGTTTTTGATCTTGGGGGTTCACAGATAAAGCACTTCTCTCTCTCTCTCTTTTTTTTTTGTACCTGGAAGCGAACTTGGTCCTTGCACTTGCGGGGCAGGTGGTGGCGGAACCCCTGAGCTACATCCCCGGCCCACTTCTTTTGCATGAAAATCGTCTTATGACTTGTCTTATTTGAGATCATCCTCATCTCTTGCCTTGATATGACTATAGCCAGTTAACTGGGTTCTGCCATCTCTGGTTTGTGTTTCATACTTATAGAAGTTTTATTTAAAATAAGGCCGGGGATTTAGCTCAGTGGTTAGATTTAGCTCAGTGCCTAGGATTTAGCTCAGTGCCTAGAAAGTGCAAGGTCCCAAGTTCGATCCCCGGTACCAAAAAAAATTAAAAATAAAAACTAAAATAAGACATCTGGGGCCAGGGATGTAGCTCAGTGTGCTGCACCTGCCTGGCAAGAGCAAGGTCCTGAGTTTGATCCCCCGTACCAAAAAAATCAACAACAAAAAACCAAAATAAGACATCTGATTTTGTTATTCTCATTAAAATCTATCCCTGTCTTCCCATGGTTTACAAGATAAAATCTTACTAGCCACATAGTCCCTCCCACCTCGCGCGCATGCACTTGCACTTTTTTGGGCGGGGCTGGGGTGCGGGAAATCAGACCCATGAGTGCTCTAACACTGAGCTATATCCCCAGCCTTTTTTATTTTATTTTTTAAATTTTTGAGACAATATCTCACTAAATTGCCCAGGTGAGACTTGTGGTTCCTCTGCCTTGGCCTCCCAAACTACTGAGCATATGGGCAAGCGCCATTGAACCTTTTTTTTTTTTTACCCCTAGTACCGGGATCGAACTCCAGACCTTGCACTTTTGAGGCAGGCAGCGGAACCACTGAGCTAAATCCCCAGCCCACACTGAGTCTTTTATTTTCACTAAATTGATCCTTCCTACCCAGGAGCAGGAGATGTCTTTCCATTTTCTTTTTTTTTTTTTTTTTGGTACTGGGGGTTGAACTCTGGACCTTCCGCTTGCAAGGCAGGCTGCGGAACCACTGAGCTAAATCCCTGGCCTGAAATTTTTTTTTTTTTTTTAAAGATGAAAGTCCTTTTTTTTTTTTGGTACCGGGGGTCAAACTTGGGACCTTGCGCTTGCGAGGCAGGTGGCAGAACCACTGAGTTAAATCCCTGGCTAACTTAAAATTTTTTGAACAAGGTGTTTTGCTGTGTAGTCCAGGTTAACATTGAAAACACTAGACAGCCCAGGCTAACTTCAGATCTGCAATCCCCCTACTTCAGCCTCCTAAGTGCTGGGACTGTAGGTGTGTGTCACCATGCCTGGCTTTTTTTTTTTTTCCTGAGACAAAGTCTTTTACCTTGTAGTCCAGGCGGGCCTTGAAACTCTTACTCCTTCCACCTCAGCCTTTCAAGTGCTAGGATACAAGTGTGTGCCACAATGCCTGGCTATAATTGTTATCATTGGACATAAACTCTGTACTAAGCAATTTACAAATATAATCTCACATTTAAA